TAAGCCCAGGGCCTCCGACCACCACATCTCCCACCAGTCCTTCTCTGTTTGTAAACTCATTGCTGGAGTAATCTCTTCACCAAACTTGTTTTTGTCCCCTAACCCCTCATTACCTTGACAGGCTGCTGTCTTGCAGGGGGTCTTTTTTTAAGGACCTGTGGTCATTGCTGGAGTAATCTCTTCACCAAACTTGTTTTTGTCCCCTAACCCCTCATTACCTTGACAGGCTGCTGTCTTGCAGGGGGTCTTTTTTTAAGGACCTGTGGCTTGTTTGGCAAGAACGCTGTGGTTATTTCTGTTCAGGCACAAGAAAATAGTTTGTTTCACCCCAGAACTTTTTTGCCATGGTTGTATCATCTGAAATCTAAAGTTCACGTGGATGGGGCTTGCCTGAAGAGGTCCTGAGGCCTAGACCGCTCATTCCTTCCATGGGCCTGTCCCATGAGTTCCTCTCCACCTTTAAAATCAGTAGTCTATTTGGAGATTGGGCACGGGGGCCTCTTGTTCCAGTATTCTCTTTTGCTGGGGATCTCTTGCCCTCTTAGCTTCTATTAGTGTAAGTCCAGACTTGGCTTTCTCATAATTGAAGATCAAGTGCCCGTTCTGTTAAAATGAAAGCTAGAATTAAACATGATACAAAGTAAAACTATACATGAGCTAGAGAACTCATTGTTCCTGGATAAAGAGCTAGTAAGATTTAAAAGGATTGGATGTTTGTATAGCTAAGAATTATGCTTGGAATTACCATAAATCTAGTTTTTGGAAACTCTTATTCTTAAAGGTGTAAGCCATGCAGTAGCTGACTGGGTTAGAAAAATAGCTTCATGAATGGTTTTCTGTAGAGCTCAGTGTGAATTGATCTGCAGCAGTTGGTGATGTCTAAGCTAAGACTGTAAGCTACATTGGTCTCAGCCCACCATGAAAATTCCTGCAATCTATTACTATACTTAAAACCTTTATAGTGTGGTTTTTTTTCCAACTTAAACTTGACAGTTAGACCTCAACAAGTTCTTGGGGACTATTCCATAGTTAGGTAAAATTGGCTCAGCTGCATTTGAACTTACTAAATTAACAGGTTTTGTAATTAAAATGTGTGGTAAAGGTGTGTGGAGAATACCGTTAATTTTTGAAAAATAAATCTTAGAAATTATGGAACACATCATGTTTCACATGCATAATATTTGCCTTTGGGCTGTGGCCAAGCATAAGGTGTTTCAGAATGAAATCAGTTTCTGCAAGGAAATTATGATCACCTGAAAAAGGTGTGATGTATTGTATTTCATCCATATCTTCAGCTGTCACAAATGCTCTCAATCTCAGATTTTATTTATTAAAAATCATTATTTAAACCTGTTCATGGGTGTGGTAAAGCCAACACTCGTGTGTGACTAAGTGGATACTAAATGTTGAGTTTGGGGAGAGAAAAGAGAAGAATTAATTACATAGCCATGGCAGTGCCATGCTAAATTGGTCCTGTCAGCTTTTCACGTGGTTTGCTTGCACACTCGGCTACTGTGCTGTTCTTTAAAGTTTTACAAACCCTGTGGATTTTCTCTTCTGCACTGCTGGAAGAAAGTGCTTGGTTGCCTGTGAAAGGTAATTTTGTGGGTTATGAAAAAATATGAGTGTTGCTCATCTGAGTGTCCATGTGAGATGTCTTCCCACAGCGCTTCAGGGACTGTGAGTACTGTGTGCCTCTGCCCTCGGCTGTGTGGTTTTGATGCTGAATGGGAAGCTGTAGCAAAAAGGACAAAAGGAAGTTCTCCCATCTAAGTGCGTTGCATGGGATGGATGATAATTGCTTTGATCTGATTTTTACCAGGCTTGCTTCCCTCAGCATCCTTCAAATCAGTGGGAGCACAGCAGTTTTTGAAAGAAACTGGGGCCTGTAATGCCTTTTCCCACTATTGGGATGGCTCAAGAAGTTAGCTTAGGATATGGGTTTTGAGGCTCACTGGTGTGTCAGTGGTTTGAAGGTTGGCCTGCAGTGCCAACACTGGTCCTACGCCATGGCTTGTGCAGGGGCTCTGGCACCTGCCCCGCACCATGCGCTGTGATGCTTTTAGATGCCATTAGGTGCCTGCTGTGTCCTCCTGCTTGGGTTTACAGCCCCACAAGGACATGGACTGTCCTTCCAGAACCCATTTTCTTAAAGTATAAAAGCACAGATAATTCCCTGTCCAGTTTTCTCCATCGGAGCTTAACCTCTGACAGACCTGCCTGCCCTGATGCAGACTGACTGTCCCGCCATAGGTCACGCCTTTTGCTTTACTTAGAAAGCACAGGATCATTCCCTAACCAGCGCTTTTTCTCCATCAAAACTTAACCAGCTTCATTTCAGCTTCACTGAACCCATAGCCTCACCGGATTCCTGCTCTCCCCGGAAGCCTAGAGAGGTCCCTAAATTTCACAGAGTGCTTGGAAATTAGACAAATGCAAGTGAATTCAGACAAAATAATGAAGTGGTTCCAAAGCAGCATTTTTTTCCCTAAGTATTACCTACAGCATCTCCTGCTCCTTGAAAGCGGTGGGACCTCAGGCAGAGCCTTGGTATGTCAGAGCTCAAGGAGAACCCTTCTGTGATTGCCTCTTGGCCACCTAGTGCATGCAACTGGAGAAGCTGGGGACAGCAGACTGACTTAAGAGGAATTGCATTTTTTCCAAGTCACACACAGATTTTTGTTGGCTCTGTGACTGTTCAAGGGGTATGGGCTAAACCCTTTTGATCTGTGAAGGGAGTAAACACTGGGTTAGGGAAAGAAGGAGTTAGTTAATATTTACATAATCGTCTTCCAAGATGAAGATATTTTGATGCAAAGTGATGCAGCTTTAACTGAGCTCGTGGCAAGGAACTGGGGGCAGTGCAGAGTCAGAGGAGGAGAGAGCTGGTACTGACGCTGATGCAGATGTGCTGGGTGTCCTTAGTGGTCGGCCGTGGTACAGGGGAGTGTAACGGAAGCAATTGGCCGAAGTAGTAGGAAGCTGCATCAAGAAAAAACATTCAGACAATGTGTTGGTAATTACACATGGAACTGGGAAATTAATGTGTTGCTCCTCTTTTTCTTTTCTTTCTGGTTTCCATTTAAAACTTAAAGATATTGAAAGGCATTAGAAGGAATTCAGCATGTGGCTGGCTTACTCAGATAAATACTTAGTCCTAAAACATTTTAATGAACCTCAAAGTGCTTCAAGGGTTTCATTATTTTAGACTAAGCACATTAAAAAACAAGGTCGAGGGAGGTGATTTGCCCCTCTACTCCACTCTGGTGAGACCCCACCTGGGGTACCGTGTTCAGCTCTGGAGCCCCCAACATAAGAAAGACATAGACCTGCTTGAGTGGGTCCAGAGGAGGGCCACGAAGATGATCAGGGAGCTGGAGTGCCTCCCGTATGAGGACAGGCTGAAAGAGTTGGGGTTGTTTAGCCTAGAGAAGAGAAGGCTCTGGGGAGACCTTATAGCAGCCTTCCAGTACTCAAAGGGGGCCTACAGGAAAGATGGGGAGGGACTTCTTATCAGGGAGTGTAGTGATAGGACGAGGGCTAATGGTTTTAAACTGAAAGAGGGTAGATTTAGATTTTATATATTAAAGAAATTCTTTACTGTGAGGGTGGTGGGACACTGGAACAGGTTGCCCAGAGAAGTTGTGGATACCCCCTCCCTGGAATTGTTCAAGGCCAGGTTGGATGAGGTTTTGAGCTACCTGATCTAGTGGAAGGTATCCCAGCCCATGGCAGGAGGGTTGGAACTCGATGATCTTTAAGGTCCTTTCCAACCCAAACCATTCTATGATTTTATGAAACAAAAAAACCAAACCAAACATACCTCTGTCAGTCAGAGCAATTGTTGATTCTATATGTACAATACCGTGAAGTAAACCTTGGATCTTCTGCTTGGAACTGTGCAAGTGCCAGATAGTAGCCTGTATTAACGTCTCGATGATCTCCTTGATACTACACTATCACCTGATTCAACTGAAATCATGTTGAAATCAATGAGTGCTGAGCATCTCCAGCAGCTTTGAGGAGCTGAGCCTGTGAAACAACAAAGTCTGATGTGAAGCAGTTCCTTTCAGTTAGAGATATGACAGATTTTCAGTGTACAAAAACATATCAGACAGAGAGAAAAACTAGGCAGTAAAAGGATAAAATTCTGCTGTTAAATTGGAATAAATCCTTTTCAAATTGTGGATCACATTTGATTATCGCTTCCTATGCAGAAGTACCATTGACTCCATGGAATGCTCTCACGTTTCTGCTCAAAGAGATAACCAAGCCCAGCTTGCAAGCAGCATGTTAATTATTTACACTTTCTAGTCCCAGCAGAGTGATTAGTTTGTGGTGAAACATTATACTAATAGCTGTGCTATGTTTTTCATCCAGAGATCTCAAAGAACTAAACAAACACTGAATTAACTTCTGCTACATGGAGCATGAAGTAAAAATTAATTTTTAATGCAATTCAATTTAAAGATTAAATTAAGAGCTAAAGTGAAAGGCGTACAAAGTTGTTAGCTGGCTTGTGGTTCCAGTGCCTCTGCTATTCTTTTCTGACTCTGGCTCATGCAGAAACTGCAAGGGTGCACACAAATTGGGTAGTTTTGTCAACTGTCAGTTACATACTTATTCTGAACTGATATTGGTGCTTTTTCCCTATGGTGATTACTGAGTTTTATTGAACAGAGAAAAGGCCATTAATTAAAGGTAGCCAACATTAAACTGATTTTTTGGAGGCTCTGAGCAACATCAAATGCCATTCATTTCAATGAGACTTAGGAGAGATTGGCAACACTGGAAAACAGGCTGTTAAGTACAGGACACCCAAAAGTCACAGCACCTAAAATTCAATCTGTGGGAGTTCTGTTGCTTGGAGTTACACAGGAATTTGGAGTAGGTGAACATAACGAACCATGCTGACTTGAAGACCTATGGAAAATAGATACTTGTTTGAAAATATTAATAAAAATGTAGTAATTATAACTTAATGCTGAGAAACCCTGAAGTTTTGTGAAGCCATTTAAAAATAATTTACTATGTTGCTTACAGTTATAAATTTTGAGTCTGATCTTTATATATATTTAAAATGTAGTTTTAATAATATGGTCTTTTAATTTCAGATTTCGTACAGCCATGCCATCCATGCTTCAGGGTTCTTCATTGCTTTTTTTGTTTCCCTTGTATTGACATGTGCTGGTTTTTTCATTGTTTACCGAACCCAAATATTAAAATGGAGTTTCCATAGTAAAAACCAGGTGAGTCATACTGTCTGTAATGGTACTTTATTTAAATTTTTTCATTGATCATATCTGATGATATAACTTGCTAACTAATACAGATTGTCTAAAGAGTTTCTGAAGATAAATAAAAAGCCACCAAGTGATGGATTGGATTCCGCAGGTAAGGTAATCTCTACAACCTCTGATCTTTAGCACAATCAGATTTAGTGGGGAGTGTAAGAACGATAATCTGATAAAAAGAACTGCTGTCAGTACCTGGATGTTAGCTTCAGACTGGAGGGAGATTACCCTTTGGCTACTCATTTCTTTTCATAGTCCTCTCTTCCTCCTCTCTGTCCCCCAAAATGAGAGAGAGGCAGGATGTCTGTAGGTTATAAGAGTTGCCCAGGGAGTAGACCACTCACCTTGAGCACAGCAGACTTGGGCCCAAATTGTATTTCAGATTATCAGGAATAGGGATTTGAATTTAGGTCTTAGTTCCTTGGATGTGCCTTAATCTCTTGAGTGATAAAGCAAAACAGTTGGGTTTGGGGATGGAGCATTTTCAGTGTTCTTTATCCAAGCTGTGCTAGTTTGGAGAAAGTGTTTCAGTACATACTGGGCCGGCGAGAGAAAATACAGTCTCTCATAAATATTCATCAGGTTGGCCCAAGTTCCAGCCCTTGCTTCTATTAATTATTTAGGTATTTATGTAAAGGGGCACAACTTCAATGGGAGGGAGCTAGAGATCTCAATCAGAATATTACAGTGGTTGGAGCAGTCCTCTAAGAGAGGTGTGCTCAGAGGTTTGAACCCCTCCTTTGCTGGGATGGGGGTGGATCTCCCATCCCTCTGGATGGACCAGAGGAGCTCACAGATCACTTCCAGCCTTATTTTCTGTGGTTGAAAATTACTCCATCAACAATTTTTATTTCTTTTAGGCCTGAAAAAATAATCCCTTTAAATAAAAAGGGCGTGCCTTATTTCTTTTTACAGAAAAAGCTGTGATAATGAAACCATAAAAAAGGGCCAGTTTGGTCCTAGCATCAGATATTTATACTGTTTTTTTGTATAGTAATTTTATTAGCTCTCAGTCTCAAGGGAGTCTCACTAAACTGTGAACTGAGTCACTTCCATCATTCATAGGATTAATTTTTCATTTTCTTCACTTTGTAATACTGTAATCTTGCCATATATAATTTCTATACCATGGTAATTTTAAAAAAATTGGCCTAGAAAGTTTATAGTGGAAGGTGACCTCCTAGAAGGCTTTCACAAGCCTGCTGAAGTCAATGTAGAATCTTCTGTCTTCTCCATTAATTTCTTCATTTGTATTCCGGATCAGTTCTATACAAAAAGTTCAGCCTTAAACAAAAGTAGTATGTTTGATTTTAGATACGTATCTGAATTGCACCATCTCTTTATACCCTTTCCAGCTATACAGTTTGATGATAAGTAGGAACCTTCTCACCCAGAGTTACCTGCAATAAAATTAGATCAGACACTCTGTGTGAATTTTTTTTATAATCTGAAATTCCGGATCAGTTCTATACAAAAAGTTCAGCCTTAAACAAAAGTAGTATGTTTGATTTTAGATACGTATCTGAATTGCACCATCTCTTTATACCCTTTCCAGCTATACAGTTTGATGATAAGTAGGAACCTTCTCACCCAGAGTTACCTGCAATAAAATTAGATCAGACACTCTGTGTGAATTTTTTTTATAATCTGAAGCTTACTTTTTTTTTTTAGGAGATACAGCATGAGCTCAGTCAAAATCACAAACTGGAGCATTCTCAGTTTAATTCAGGTGATCTCTTCAGTGAAGATATAATTATGAATGATCAAATCATCGATATTCTGTCCTTTGAAGAATCTGGGAACATGCTTCAGGCTTTAGAAGAGTAAGAATTCACTGCTATTACATTACATTTAATACATTTATCATCAACCGTACCTTTGAACATGCTTTGAGTATCTATCCTTTAATTTTTCTTCATAGTATCTGTTTATGCATGTGACTGCACTACCTTAGGTTTTTGAACTGTATTAAATAGCTATCTGCGGGAACTGAAAATTGTCATATTTCATATTGCTTTACCTGTAGAATTCACAGCTCCATCTAGGCCTTAGGCATGCAAGTTTTCCAATCCAAATTAACATCTAGTTTTGCTTCTCTGTGGTTCACTAGGTAAAGGGAAACTTTTCTGTGTTGAAAGCATGTATTCTACTATTGCTGAACACATTCTGCTTTCAAAAGTGTGGCTTTTGTCCTAGAAAAGAGAGCCCCTACTGGGTGCCAGCATTGCTGTTGAACAGCATATTTTGGAAACACCTGGATCAGAGTCTAAGGAGTGAGAGTTTGTAGTGCTGCCAGAAAGATACCACATAGCTGCAATCGGAGGCACCACTGGTTAGAGCAGAGAAACTCTCCTGATGTTGTTGAAAGGCCAGTCAGGGCTGTCTGACAGAAACATGCCGCTGTTAAAGGTCATCTGTTCTTCAGCTGAATTTGATAAAAAGCTCTGATGTGAGAACAGAGCAGATTTTGTTTGTGCAGTCTTACCGTTAGCTCCTGGCAAGTCAGGTTACAGGCAGTATTATGCAACTATAAAATCCGTAGAAGCTGAAAAGGAAAAGTTACGGCACCATGAAAGTAATTTTCTTTCTTAAAGGGTAACTAACAGCGTTATTATTTCCTGCGTTTCCTTGATAATTGGGATACTTATCTCTGTAAATTGCACATTGGTCCTTGCCTTTATAACTATATAGCAACTCAGGCTTTGAGAAGACTTATCCTGAAAATCATTATGTGAATGTTAAGAACAGGATCAAACATTTTTTTAACTTGCTTTAGTATTAATTTATTTCAGGGATAGTGAATATCTAGCTAGTTTGAAAAAAAAAATTAAAAATACTGTTGTGGTTTAGAAAGGTAAATATTCTTGCAAACCTTTGGATAGGATTATTTTTATAACTGGATTATTTCTAAACCCATAAAACAGGATTCATTTCTTAGTTTGAGTATGTATCCAGGGGCTAAAGTTTTTTCATATTCTTACACAGCACAAATGTCTCTCTTGTTTCCGCTTCTTTTCTCACAGTTTCTATTTTCTCTACTTCTAAGGAGGTAGATCATTGCAGTGAATAAATAGAGTCCCATTAGCGAACAGTCACTAACCTTCTTCACCTTCTGAGTTATCTTTTCCGTCTTCCAGGGTGAGGATAGTAGATGGACCACAAAGGCATCCAGAGTTACAGTGGTTCCTGCTACAAAAGATGATTGAAAGGATGATAGACGTTACTGTGAAGGGCTCAAATCAGCCTCTACCTGTTAGCAATGGGTGCTTCCTAATCCCTATTTAGATTATCCCAATTCTTCTCAGTTCTTGTAGTTTTAAACTGGACCTTCTGATTCATTTACTGTTAGGAGGTGACACACAGATGCACTTACCATATTTTTTTCTATTCTTTCCCTCTTTTTATTGGCACTCATTGAATATGTGTATTCAATTACAACATACCTGTTCCTCTCCTCTCTTACTGGTGGTGCAGTTTAGCTGACTGAGTGAGGATCTCTGCAACGTGAACTCCTACACCAAGTTGCTCCGAGTTCCCCTTTTTACTCGGGGGTGAAAAAGGGCACTTCTAGGGTATGATTATTCTCATCCTAAAGTAGACTTCCAAAAAATGAGTCACATGGCTGCTGCACCCCCTGACCCTAAAGCCTGGAGCTTGGGCTGATTAGCTTAGCTGTAGGGTTCTGGAGGTAAGTGAGATGAATCCCAATCCTGCAGGCTGGTTGGTAATAGAGGCTACAGCATTACTTTAACACCTATATTAGGTACATGCAATATTGTTTCTGCTTTCTTCAGTAGCTATAATACACCACTTGTTTTATCTCTCATTGTTAACACTTTTATATGATATTTAGCTTAGGATGCTTTCTCATGTCTTAATGTTGACTCCTTATTCATTCTGCAAGTTAGGGCAAAGCAGTCCTTTAATTTCTGATCTATATTCCTTAAAGGTTTCATTTTAGTCTTGTACTTCATAAACTGTTGTACATTATCCAGGTTTTTAGCTGATTCCAAAGACAAAGATAAAATACTGTACCATTGCCTTAGGAGCTTCTATGACAGCGATCTAGGCTAAAACCAGAATGGGGTAATCCTTCTTTTTACTGAATTACCTGCTTTAAGGATAGTAATTTGCAAAACGTAATGAGGAAAAAAAAAGATTGTGTGTTTGTAATTTATTAATGGATAATTGCAGTCAATTTGAATGGATTCTGTGCTTGAATGAAATGTTGTAATTTTACTAATTGTGGTCACAATCAGTTTTTCTACAATATTGCATTTTGTTTTATTACATTTAGTGTCACCCAACAGAATAGTTGGGTTTTCTGTAAGGAACTGAGGAATGAGGTTTGTATTGTCTTATAGGAGTGGCAGTATGCTGAGGGTAAGAGCTGGGCTTGTATTTTGAGCGCAATTTTTTCATGTCATGTATACCAGTATGAATTTTAGCATCATAATCCTGTTTTTTATTATTTGGGGAGGCAGAAGGATAGGGGCTTTTGTTAGAGAGCTTTTGATACTTCAGATATTTTCAACCAACCAATTTCATCTTGCTTGTATGCTAGTTTGATAACTCCTTCTGCATGTATTGGTGCAGCTATGCATCATTTTCTCTACATGGCATATGTATAAGCTTGCCAACATAATTGATATATTCTTTTTAAATTGCACTGTGATAGTAAACATGGTTGGAATCATTCTGGTGCTTTGTTCTTTTGTCCAGACACAAATAAGAAAATTATTCAGAAAAGTAAGAGCCACAGGGTTTTTTTGTCCTCTTTACAACGTAAAGCTATGTTAATAGTTCATGTCTCTTACGAAGTGACAGTGCCAATTTGTTTAGCAAATACATTAGGAGCATGTGTTCAATATTTATGGACAGGGACATCTTTGGAGTGTAGACAGTTTGCAGTGTCAGGAGGACTGGTTACAGAACAAAACATACTTTTAATATTTCATAAGGAAGCTTCTTAGTTAATTATTTTGTGAATTTTTTCTTAATAAGTCATATCCTTGATGTACATTATGCAGCAAAATAGCTTGGCTTTTATTCTCAGTAGGTTCCTTACTGTGTATATTCCTGAATATTGGCCCATTGGCAATGAATGCTAATGAGAAGCAGCTATATGATTTGAATATTTGACATGCACACTAGAAGATCATGTTCCAAAAGGTTGTGGGTCCCTTTTTCTGTATGTCTAGAACAGAATATGAAGAGAGCTGAGCAGTTTGGGTTTGTGTCCAATGTGATGAAGTCTGACCATGCTCATAGTCTCAGAAGATACAGATATGTTGAAGGCAACTTAATTTCTTTAAATGGCTTTCCACTAGTACAACTTTTCTTTTTCATCTTCATTTTGTACAGCTGTGCTTCCTTGAGTTTGGCAAAGCTCTAGCTGAACTTGAACCTGCTTGCTGATACACAATACATACTGCTAATTATTTTGGTAAATCACTAAGTAATGTGTATGCATCGCAGCTGATTTTTTTTCTGATGGTAGAGGGCATTGAGGCCAATGTACTAGAGAACAGGATCAAACTGTCTCCAGAGAGCCTTGACAGAAAAGTCAAAAACAATTTACTACCATATTAGAAGTTCACTTTTTCTTTCTAAATGTAAACTTCTTGCTGTACCTCTCAATTTAATTTGCTAGGGAGCAAATGTGGGGGTTTTTTAACCCTGAATTCAAATGGAAAGTAAGAATAAAAGATCACATTGTCATAGCAGCTAGACCTGAATATTCCTACACAGAAAATGGTGAGAAATAGTTACATTGTTAGTATAAAAAAAACCTGAGGTGCTAAATTTCTGTATTTCATAACTTTTAAACAGTGTAATCAAAATTTTAGAATTTTTGAAGGGAGGGCATATTCATTGCTCTGTTTTTGTGCAATATGTACAATGCAGGAGTACAACAATAATCACATGGATATAACAATAAGATGCAGTGAATACGCATGGAATGAACCCCAAACCCTGCATTTGTAGTTCTGCATTATGAATGCTGTTATAAGCTTGACAAGTGTGTAAACTATACGTTTTTTTCCATCAGAGAAACTCAAATGCTTAATGGGTGATAGGAGTCCATAAGACAGGGGAACTGAAGAAAACAAGTCATTTGAAATTAATGAATACATATCTTTTTTCATCTAAAAAATGGCACTTTGATGTTGGCTAACTATGAAGAAATTGTGTTCAGAATTATATAGGTCATTTCTGCTGTCCACCCAGAACAATTTATCTCATCTAGAAAACAGTCTGCTTTTGAGAGTAGTGCTGTTAGTGATGCTTTATTCCATATCATTTTGAAAGAAGATTGGTATCTCCTACTGTTTCTGTCATCTGAATACTCACTCCGTCTGAGTAGATTAGAAGAATCTGAGTAGATCACAGCAAAGTTGGAAGCTCCTCAGGCATTAATGCATATAGCCATAATATTTATTTATGCTGTTGTTAGTATCCAGGCTGAAGTTGGTGCTTTTAAAATCAGTGGTAAAATGCGTGATGACTTCACTGGAAGCAGGACTGGAGTCTTTTTTATGCTCTTTTTGCATAGTAGTTTTTCAGTGAAACACCATTGCCTGAGCTCTGTTGCAACAGCTGTATTGTAGCTAGCTGTATTTTTTAAATTGGTTTGCTGAAGATCACTGATTTATCAGTTTTCATACTTTCTGCAATTAAAGCAGAGGTTCTCAGTCTCTTAAATGCAGGATTTTTCAGCTGTTTTTTAAACAGATTAATTTAAGAATTGAAATACCTTTACTCTTTGTATTGCTGTGGAGAGTTAAAGGAATTTGATAGCAAAACTGCTGCCAAATCTAGT